AAAACTACCTGCTGCGAAAATGCGTGTATTAAAAGATGATTATATTTGGCGTTCTTTTCCTTGTGTTGGGGATTAATTCGGTCCTCTACCTACTTGTAGAACGTGAATTATTAATTGAGGCAAAATTGAAAGGAAAATTCTACTGATGTTAATAATAAAAATTATAGTAATGCGAATACTGCAAATATATTTATTTTGCTTGCGAAAGCAGTGTTTTAAACAGCATAAATAAATATTATGCAGTGTATTTTTTCCATAAGAGTTAAAAGTTGTCAAGTATAAAACTCAGTTAAATGAGGAAAGGTTTGAAAATTTGTAGGGTGTTCTTATAAAGTCTAATAATTTAAAAATCCATAAGTAAATCCAGCTCAAAAGTAATGATTTTAAGTCAGATCAAAATAAGTTTTTTTTTATTATTTTGGATCGAGTCATAACTCGAAAACAACCAGTTTCAGAAAAAAGAGCTATTTCGTCATATTTACTGAACAATTAGCTGTAACTTTTGCATTGATACAGTTTTAGAACCCTTTAGTTTTGTGGTCCTTAGAAATTTGTGCTTATATAGTTATTAAGTAAAAAAGAGCGCCTTGAGACTCTTTAAAAGTCAATCATTTTCGAATGATTTAAAACTTCTTATACCTGTGCAGATTCAAAATGATCCACTTCTTACATTTTTTTTTACTTTGAGGATGAAAAAAACGATTTGTTCTAGAACGTGGAATGATCCTTCCAAATCTCACACAGTAAACTGGTAAAATTAAATGAAAAAGCCAGTGGATTTGGTCATGTTTATACATTGAAAACTTGAAAATTTTCGAAAGCGGTTGAGTTTTTCTAAAAGTTAGAAAACTGACTTTTTTATTTAAAAACGATGTAGTTTCAGGAAAAGTTTCCGGGCATACCTCAAAATTACCTTACAAAAATTCGACCCGACAAAATTTTTGAACGTCTTCGGTTTCTCTTGTAACCATTTTTTCTAAATGGGTTGTTCCCAGCTATACAGGGTCAGTGAATCGAAGACTAAAAAAAAAAACGTTCATGTAAAAGTGTTTTGGTTGTCCTCACCACACACATATCAAAAGCATTTGTTTCTGTTACTTTGAACTATACAGGGTAGCTCAAAATAATGTTATGATAGTCAAGTTTATTTTTTTAAATAAAACAGCCTACTTTTTAAACCAAATTCGGGTTCTACATTGAATTCGAAGCTTTTTTTGTATAACATACTATGTGAATAACTTGGTTTTGGACATAACGGCATTTGAACGTGGGAACCCAACAAAAGTAAACTTTATCATTATTGTACATACTTTCCTGACTGTGTTTCAATTCCAAATCAAAATCAATTCCTGAGCTTCAGTCATTTATTGTCTATTTATCAATTAAAATACGTTTCGGTGTTTTCCACCATCATCAGTTTCTCTAAAATAACAGATAGTAAAAAAAAATTTTCATTAATTTAAACGAACTGTGATTGTTTTTTATCATTATTATTTAAAATAAAATAAACGATATAATTTGAGAAGGGAACAAAACGGAAAATGTTTCAATTGGCCAATGTTCATGTTTTGTTTTAATATTCCTTTTAAATTATATTCTTTATTAATAAAATTATTAATTAAAAAAAATAATCATGAATTTTACTTTTGCTGCGTTCCCATGTTTTAAACGCCGCTATGTCCAAAACCATTGAATTCAGTCACATGGTATGTTATACAAAATTTCTTAGAATTGAATATAAAACCTGATTCTGGATTAAACATTCTGGAAAAACCATTCCATTTTAAAAAATAAACTTTACAGTCATAATTTCATTTTGAGCGACCCTGTATGCTTTAAAGTAACAGAAACAAATACTTTGGCAACAATCACAACACTTTTATATAAACGGTTTTTTTTCAGTTGCATTTTCTGTACGATCTACGAAGGGGGTCTCGCTTCGCTGACTCACCCTGTACTAAGTATGCGAGATCAAACATGTATGGAGATATTCACTTTTTCATCTGTTGTCATTAATCAATTAAATAATAAATTATTGTCAAGTGGCGCACTTTTATTTTTTATATGCCCTTGAAGGTTTGGAAATTACAATTGGACCACCCTGTATATTCTAATTTAGATCCTTTTACTATTCCAAAAAATATATCTAGTATAGTACGTATATCTCTCCACTCTAGGCATACTTTAATATGATACCTCCTTAAAGTTGTTTTTGCGTGAATTGTAGGTGTATTCATTAATTTAATTGTATAGTATTTATTAAAAAATGTATTATTTTACTTGGAAATCAATTGCCACGCTCCATCATTACAACTCAAAGTATCCTAACAGTTTGCAAATTAAAAAAAATATTTTTAGTTTCGTGTTTTTTCTATAGGTATGCAGTTTCTAATTAAATTTATCTTCACTTAAAAAATAACTTTTAAATAACTTAAGTTTTTAGAGCGTTTTATTGTTTATTACAAAACTGTTATCGCATTGTCTCGCCTGTGTGCCATTAGTTGCAAAATAGTGAGCATTTAATAATAATAATGAGAATACTCTATAAAATAAGTAATACAAACGTCTAAATTAAAATTTGCTCATAATTTGTGAAGGTACGATATTCACGTTATTTTATTCAATTCAATTCAAGGCAAAATTTGAATTTTAAACTAGCAACGTTGAAATTTTTTTAAAGCTGCACTGACAAGCTATCGTCTCAGTGACGAGTTTCCAAAATTCTCATTTTTTCTGCAGGATTTTTGGGGTAGTATTGCACTAACTTCAGACCGTTGGAAGTTTTTTTCAGTAATAATTAAACATTTATCCAATCTTTAAGACGGGTTGCAGGTTGCTAGAAAAGCGCTGTCTCGTCTTTATATTGAGCTTTTGAAATTGTGTAAAGTAATCTATATATAGAAATTTTTGAGACGTATCTTATTTCAATTCTAAGGATCAAGCGGCTACAAGCGGTGTCTTCTTGTATAGCGCAATATTAGACTATAATATGTTCTAAACACCCTGTATAACGCCAGTTTTCAAATAATTGTCCTATTGATTTGATGAATAATGCAAACTTTGCACTACATTTTTCGATGTTAATCGCTTCTTGAGCTGGATGCGGATTGGTTAGTCTGGCCACGTGGCTGACCTTTAATCCCATCCAGTTTATCAAGATACAAAAAAAAGCTGAAAATGAGACAAATTCTGATACGTTGAAGAGTTTCAGATTGAACTTTCAATATTGTCCTGTTTGAGTTTATTTTCAGTGCCTATATCTATGTATTCGTTTTAGAGTGTTTTGTGGCGACAAATGCCGGTAATTAAATAGTTTAACAACTCACCCGATCATGTTGCATTGGGAGTCAGGCTGGTAGCAGGTTGCAGGGACACCGGAAAATGCAAATCAACTAGTAGAAAACACTAAAGTTGCGTGCACGAAATAAAAGGAAATAGTCATAAATTATTTGAAAAATCGACGTGTTTGTACAACAAGTGGTTTAATGATATAACCAGACGTCAAACAACAACAGATAATAATAGTGACTAAATGGGATTAACTTCATTGGCACAACACAGGACACACTCAGTAACTTATGTACAAATAGAAAAATACGATTTAAATAACGTTACAACATAATTATTGGTCCGATTACAAGTAAAACATTACATTTGGTCCACTGGAAGAAAAATCGACTGTCAGAAAATCCTGCTGAGCGGAGTTGCCAATATTGTCCTGCCATACCAGACAGGACAGCTGAGGCAAACTGAGTCTAGTAGCTATACTCAAAAAGGAACAATTTTCAAGAAATAAGGCAAATAAACAATTTTGTTGACTTCCTGCTTTTAAGTAAATTATGGCAACATTATTTGCAACTGGTTAGAATCAAACGAATTTCCCAGTTTTAAACGGAAATTAATTTGTCGTTAGTACTTTGAAAGAAAACATTGTTACTTAATATTAATTAAAAACTGTAGTTGCCAGAATCCCCGGAGGTAGACTTTGGAACGCATTGATTCACAAAACTTACCGCTGAACTTACAGCTTAGTGCTTAAAACTGCAGGAAAATTTAGAAATAAATTATACAGTTTACAGCTTTAAAGATAATATAATAAAAAAAATTCCATCTTTATTTATTACAACAAAATCCCAACCACTCTGTATATATTTCCTTATTCTACATTCAAAATTGCCTCTTAATAGTTGAAAAAACATCGTTAAAGTGAACTTTTATTATCCAGGCTATAAAAATTGTATAAACGCATAAAAGCATGGAAGAAATTTAGATATTTATAAAATATCAGTTAATATTCTATTCTTTAAGTTAAGTCTATGGAAACATCCAGCGAATATTTTAAATTGGCATTTGCTACTTTTTCTTATGGAGAAGTGGTTGTAAAACAATTCAACTTTAATTTCACGATAAAAAATAACAGAACAAAATTGAATAATTTTGTTCTTGGCAACATTGGCGTTCAGGGTGCGGGATGTTAAGCTGAGGCCGGTAACACAGACCGCTACTAGTCGGAATTATCCAGAGATAGTTCGCTGTTCTCTTCCACGCATCGATCAAACCCAACGTTCCATATTGATTATCCTGTACAGAAAAATCAGGAACAGCAATTTTTCAGTTTTAAAATGAAATTCTCGAAAATTTTGCCTTCAAACGAATGAAGCGTATTTACGGATCTATCAAAGGCTTGTGATTATACAGGGTGTTCCACCGGGAACCGCCGCGATCGATATCTGGCAAACTATAATTAGCAGAAATTTGAAAATTGAACATTGTGTCGAAGTCATTGGGGGCACACGATCTAAAATATTTTCAAGACAACAAACAAGTCATGTTTTATGTGGGCAAGTAGAGTACACCACTGAGGTCTTGTCCTTAAGACGGTATTGTTGGCATGCTTTTCAAAATATTGACGGTACTCACCTTGTCTTGGTAAAACCAGACAAGTCCGAACACTACATGAAAATAGAAGTAATATGGGTGTTGTTTAAATAAGACAGGACTACTAGTTTAGATACTTTAATAGAAATTGAAAATATAGGAAACTCGATAGATACCTAACACGGCAATGATTAATATTACTTAATAGTTCACTTCTATAACTTCATACCCCAATATACAAAGACAAGTTTCATCAGACTTGCTCATGAAATACCACAATTTTAATCACCAATTTATTATCAAATAAACAGAAACCCTTATTTGTCGCGACTAAAAATATAAGGATTAGGAGAACTATTAGGACTGACTGATCTCTATGACTAACTTATTACTTTGGTTATATTATTATTACAGTTAACGAACGGCTGATATATGTATATTCTCGTTATCGGATTTATACTGTTTCGTAATCGCTTCTGATTTGTTTGGCTAAGTAGCAGGACAGAATAATTCCCAAGAGCTGAAATAGAAGTTTGTATTACAAAAAATAAATACCAACGAAAAAACATGTTAACTACTTCTGCGAGTTAATAATCAAATTTTGTAACAAAAAAACACAATTACTACATCAAATGTTACCTGTATAACAGCCAGAGTTAAGGCTGCAATCTCGATACTGGAAGTATTGTCTCTGATATAGTCACCAAACACTTGCAAACAACCATTGGCGTGTACATCTGTAGAATTGGCGTTGCATGTGAAAGGGTTCACTGTTCCTGGTGCAATATTGCAGCAACTTAAGGGCAAGTTTGAATCCACAATTCGGTTTGGGATACTGACATTCTTCCAGTCACCGGACGAGTCAACTCCACAGCACTTCAACTAAACAAAAAATAACTTATGGGTAAAAACATGTTCATATATTGCCAAATCAGGTTTATATCGATTCAGCTTGCCTGCTGTTGAATTGCATCCCAAGTAGCGGTGATTTCTTTCGTAGTATTTTGACCATATTCCGTCATGGATTTTTTAAGGGCCTGTTCTAAAATGTTTTCCGTCTTGTGTCTTAGAACAACTGCTCCGATTCCAACAAGAGCTTCCAATATAAAGATGACGATCAGTAATGTGGAGAACTAAAAATAATTTTCATAAAAACCTACGATACACTTCTGAACATGGCAGTTTGTGCCGAATTAAAATGGAAAAAAGGAATCATTATTATTACACATTATACGAGTCAGAAGAGTTGGCCCAAATACTTATACAGTATGTTAGAACAAATATTGTATAAATTCTTATATAAGTATCTTTGATTTATACGTTTTTTACACTGAGATACTTACAGTTGTCGTCAGGCAAGCATTCTCTTTGGCAGCTCCACAGCATCCAAAGAAAGATATGAAGAATATTATAACGCCAACCACAATAAAAACATCGGATATGTAAAAGTACTTGTCGTTCAGCAAGTCATCGAATTCGTTAAAATACGCTTTGGTACTAATTCCAACCGATATAACAATTACACCAGTGAGCTGAAAAAAATGATATTATGAAAAAAATGTGTACTATTTATTCAATAAAACTATCTGTTTTTTGTGTGTATACATGTATAATTCAAGGGGCTGAAAATACAATGTTGAATGGAAAATAACGCCTAATTTTCCAGCTCCTAAAATTATATACACACACACACACACAGATAGTTTCAATTAAAAATATATAATATAACTATTGTTTGCTGCCGAACTATAAAATTAAACAAATGCAAATTATAGTAAATATAGGTACATCTATTGCAACAATGTTTAAGCTCTAGAATGTTCTGTTTGTTAGTAGACATTTCTGTTTAAATTTTATGTAGGTAAATATGTCATCAGAAGCGATTTCATCACATCAGCAGTTTTTAATACTAGGGAAATGCTTCGATCTATTGATGTATTGAATTATAATAAATTTCCAAACACCATTAAAAAGTATGATCGTTTTAACGTTTTGAAGAAATGGGTGCCCGAAGAGTTTTGTCCTGAGCATTTTGTTATAATTTTTATCGAGATATCGTACAACTTGTACTTCAGCTGGTCATCAAAATAAATTACTTAGCCTTTCTATTATCTACTACCTGTGATACAAACAACCGTGTTTCTCTGATATGTCCTTAGATAAGAGATTTGTGCGACTCAGCTGAAAACCTGACAAATTAGGTACTTGATCATTAAAAATAAAAATAAAGTCCAAGTTTCCAACGCCGTACGCTAGAAAACAAGTTACATTATTTTCTCTATTCGAAATGTCCCACAATATTATTGTTGATAGATCACAGGCTGATGTTGTTGAGGCTATTTTTATATTTAATTAAGCAGCAAATCGACTGCGCAACCTTGAAAACATAAATAAGTCCAACGAATCTGCTGAAAATAATGTAGTTTCAAAAAGTTGCCAAAATTGTCCCTAGGATTTAACTGTGCAGTTGAATAGAACAAAGAACTTACCACGAAAAAAAAGTTGAAAATGATAAGCAAAAAGCGTGAATAGTTCCTCATGATGCTCTGGAAATCAACCATTTTTGGATTCCTAGAACAGCACACAATCAACCAATTATCACTAACAAAACGAATGACTAAATTTACTTGGATTTAATGATTTTAATCAAATATTGAATGATTATGAATACTCACATATCTCTGGGTGGATTAGTGAAACGTCAAAAAGTAATGACAGTTACCAGGTGTTGACCTAATAAGAAACTCGCTATCGATACATGCACGGTTTTATTAGTATATATACAGTGTGTTTCAGAATAAGTTAAGTAGAACAGGAAAAACATGTGTCGGATGAACACTGGAAATCCCTTTCACCCTGGAAAACGCCGTTTAGCATTGCGTCAATGACGCGAAATCTGGCTTTTAATTCTTTTTGCCTTTCCTTTTTAATTGTGCCTTGATCTTTATTATCTCTTATAGCTACAAAGCTACTAACGAGCTTTACAAGATGATTCGTTTACTAACATCTTTTCTCAGTGTTTTTTTTTTGTAGGAAATGCGGATTTCCGACCATTTTTCAATCAAGTTTTGAATTTTTCAAAAGCAAAAAGCCACGCAATATTAGTTCGATTTTCAAAAACCTCTTATCGCGCCGAACTTGCACGATCAAGGATCAATGCTTTATAACATTGCGCAACAGGTTGCGAAATTTCCAGTAAAGTAGCAAATCTTTGTCGACAAAATTTCCATTTTCATAAAGATTCCCGTAAGGACAAAAATCAATGCTGTTCTTTGGTTCTTCTTTATTTTCTATAAAGGCAGGGAATTTCAATGAGTGAAGGTGTGGAAAACGCACCTTGGGGCTAAACCAACCAACCAATAAAAATCACCAAAAATAAAGCAAATAAAAGCCGTTAAAATTCGCACTTTTACCCAAACAATTGTCGAATCAATCAAATAATAATTTTGTTATATAATTAACAAGTAACAATCCATAAAGTTCCAATAAAAAGAATCGATTAAAACAATTTTTCTTCGTTTACTTTGCTAAATGCGCTCTAGACTCATCCATAAGGTATCAGAGATACACAAATAATGATCTTTACATATTTTATTTATATATATATATATATGTAATAATCGCCACTTTTATTTTATAGTAACAAAATAGCTAATTAAATAAACGATGAGTCGAACTTACCAATATTGGATTGTTTTCAACGTCCCCAAGATTCGTATAAAAACGAGCTTTTTTAATTCGCGGTTTATCTTTTTATAGTTTTTAAAATTCCGATAATATCTAATTAACGGAAAACTGTTCGCAAGAGGCTCGTTCGTACAGTCCTAATGATTGTTCTGTTATTTTAAACGTAGTTCAACATATACGCTCTTAAAATGGTTTTTCACTTTTTAAATGTTAATAATTTATAATAAAACCCAATTAACGAAATAGATCCCAAATGGGAGCCCCATTTGGGCCCCATTTACTGTCAAATATGACACTGACAAGCGGGAAGTTTCGCACCTGTTCTGGAGATTTCTAGAACTATCTGGAATACCTGGAGAAAAGGATATAAGCGACGACGAGAACCAGACGGGAGAGAGTGAAGTGACAGCCGCGCCTGAGTGCAGAAGAAGTTAAACCCGCGAGTCGGAAATCCGTGTTTTAAAAAGTGGAATAAAAGTTGGAAGCAGAAGAAAGAGTTTAATACTCGGCCATTCACGGTACAATACTTTCCACCTGCGTTCTAAACTTCTAACAATATAGTATTCATTTGTTTTTCATATATTATTAATTCACTAGTTTGCTATCTCCTTTTATTTGGAGAATTTATTGATGCAAAAGAACATAACTTGGATAACAATGGATTTTTCAATCTCATTTATAGACGAAATTTTCAGTGTCGTGCTTCCCTCCCTTAATTTTTATGTCAAAAAATTTAATGCAAACCGTTAATCCGCATGCATCACGAAACGAATAAATTGTCATCAAATATTTTTGTCGTCATGTATTAATAAAACAAAACATTTTTTCCAATCAATTTTATTACAGAATTTAAGTGAAATAATATATTGATATTTTGTCGTTACTGCAAAACTATCCCATACAAATATAATTATAATAAGCCTATCAATATAATGAAAACAATTTTTTTAAATTAATTATATCAGTGTTCTTTAGTTTCAGTTGTGCACACATTTATTTTCGTTTTTTTTGCCAATAAATCTGCTTTTATCGATTCCAATTCTTGAATTCTCTGTTTTGTGGCATTCAGTCGTTCAACCAAACCTTCACACATCGGCAGGGACACTTTGGACACTATATGACTAAGTGCAAGTGTTTTAACTGCATCATTATGCAATCTGGTAATGGGATCACTGCTCTTATCATCTTTGACATCATGACTTTCGATCTCCTCTTGTATAAGTATTTTTGAAAGATTTGCAATACCTACATTTAAAATGACTATAGTTTTGCATAAAATAATACATAATAACTATGAAAGCAATTTAAATAATCGACGACTATGACATATGAGTGCAGTGCAAAAAAGTTTTAAAAGTTTGCATAAAAATTTCACATTGCTCAGAATTAATGATTTTATCATATTTATGATCCGTTAGTTGCATCAGCTTTGTTTTCCATTAAATATATCCTGCCGTTTTTAACAAAACATGTTTTGCTTAAATAACGCAAAATATTACCAGACGGAACGGGGCTTATTTAGTTATGATGTTCAAGAAAAGTCGAAATTTAAGTAAGTTTAAACAAAAATTAAATATGTAAAAAAACACTGTAGTAAAAAAATATTTTGGTTGAATTTGTGGAACAGGTTTATGAAAACTTAATGCGTGTGCTCTGACAATTGCTTCTATAATTTTACATCAAAAAAACTAATGGGGTTTTAGGTGTAAAATGTTTAGAAATGTTAAAAGTGGTTTGATTCGAAAAAAAGTTGAAGATATCGCTTAAATCCAATGGCTGATCCTCTGTGCAAAACATACAATTTTTGATCATTTTACTATTGCAAAACACAATTTGCGCATATAATCTATTAATGCAATAAACCGGTTCTTGAACTAGGGTTCACAATGAGCCCATTCTTGCATTGTGTGCGATTCTTTTATTTACAATTTTTTGGTATCTCAAAATATCTCGATAGGTTGCTAAATATACTACTAATTTTAGGTACGTTTTCATGATTCAACCAACATATCGATATATTTCCCAACAGTCAACACACGCAAACGAAGAACACTAGCAAAACCTACACCAGCCTTTGAAATTGTGAATTGAATACATTGCATAAAACAGCCGAAAAAAAATGATAGAAGAAATGTGTCCCAGATAAATAATCGTGCCGAATTTCCAAAAAGGTTACATTCAGAGTGTTTTTAAAGTGCCTAAGACCCTATTACAAGGTGTTCCTCAAACAGATAGTCAGATTTTGGGAGCAAGCAACCGCTTGAAACATTTTAGGGTAAAATTAAAATAATTTCGCAAATGTCTGCTCTATGTGGAAGATAAAGAATTTCAACTTTTTTGTTCGACGTAGTGTCTTGGACATTTTCAATCTATAACCTAGATTGTGAAGAGTTTTTTTTATTACAACCCAGTGTGTAAATTAAGATTCATTCAACTAATCCTTAGGATTGTCTGATTGTATGAGTCCCAAACTTGTTACGAGCAAATAGTCTTTATATTGTATGTTATATAATTTTTTAATTACTCTTGCCTGGTCTAGGTAAAACTAGTAAAATATTGCAATGCCAATTGGGTTCCGCAATATTTCGATATTTACATTAAACCTTTAAAGCATTTCAGATATAAAGCCCATGTCCTATGCATCCGTTTACACGATGATACGAAAGTGTTTCTATTGATTGGAGGATCATCTATGAGTTCGCACGACGACGGCCAAATTTACAAATCTCCAACCAATGGAAACACTTTCGTATCAGCGTATCATCGTATAAACCGATGCATGGGACATGAGCTTTATACTAAGCGTTTTCGAAAAATAATGTATTAGGACAATGAAATAATAATATGTATTAAGATTATAATAATGTATTAAACCACCGATTTACTAACCATCCTATGGATAGGCTAAAATTGCGATCATAAAAATAATATGAGTTCCAAAAATTCAATATACGGATGTGAAGCGCCACGTAAGACGCAAATCAACGAAAAAACTTTTTATTACACTGCTGCCACTATTTGTGGTTTTTAGTAAAATTTTATTTATAGTTTTTACTCCTCATTATTCCCATCCCCATATTGCGTGCAGTATTGCAGTTTTTGTCCCTAATTTGACAACAGAAAATTGAACAGAAATGCTAGTCTGAATGTCGGTTACTAATTACGATTAAGACCGTAAACATTTAAAAAAACAAATTTACTTATACTGGATGTGCGAATTTGACTTAATAGTTGGAACAAATGTTATTAGACTTTAAACGAGGATTTTTGATATGTACCTTGTATATTGTAAAGCTGAAAAGCGGTATTTTCAATAAACAGAGGCACTTCTCTTCTTTCCAATTTACCATCACTTTGTGTCTGTGCTTGGAAACAAGTGAGTTGAACTTGATTAGTCCGAATTCGCGGATCACCTTGATATACTGAAAAAATAACTCCGACAAAAAGTGAATCCATCATCTGATAGGTGGCCTGCGTTCCAATATCTAAGAGAAAACTGAGTTACATGAAATGAAACAAACATGTGAGTCTTATTTTCTTACCTACATGACTAGGCCAAACAGTAATGTGAGGGTGCGAATGATACCACCCTACAACCCTCATTGGGCGCTTTAAAGAATACTGCAACTGTTCAGCATATACGGATGCTTCACAAAGCTGCTCCGGAGAAATTTCTACTCGATCTGGTTGTTTATCACTTCTGTGGAGGATTTTGCATGCGGATATAACTGACATACATTTCTTTTCATCAGTCTAACACAGATAATGCATATTTACTTAAATTATCTTAAAAACTATCTTTAAACAATCATTGGTACTTGGATATTAAAATAAATGTTGTCTAATACAGTAGCATTCTTTTGAATGGATATCAATATTAGGAATCGAATTACGAAAATACCTTCTCAAGATAATCTCAGTTTAGTAGAGCGGCTTTGTAAAGTCACAAAATAGGCACTTGCAAAGAAAAATCAGAAATACTCTGGGAGATAAAAATATACTCTCAAAAATACATTTATGTGAAATTATGCTTTAGACATACAACCGTTTTACAACCTCTCCAATTACAGTGAGAGAGTAAAAAACATATTTTTTGAGTCTTTTAACTACATATTTACTAAGCTGAACCTTTTTCTTCGAAGACTTTCTCCCTGGGTAAAAAATGTCTTTTGTAGGCTCGAAAAACTCTGCGCAAAAAGGAATTTGGCTTTTAAAATCGATTTATAACGTATGTGCCTCAAAGCACCTCAAGGGTGGGGATGAAAAAAATGTATTTATCTTTCTAAGAAGATGATAAAAATTCCGATGTCCTTCCTATTCCGATGTCCTTTTGCCGATACTTATTCAAAAACTGATGGCACCATTCGATTCAGCAGCTCAAAATACATAAGAGCATATGTAAATGAGATAAAATTACCGATTTTTTATTGACTTCCAGGTTGCAAATAATTATCTTTTTCTCATCATTTTTTAAAGTTTTTTGAAGGTGTTTGCTTGTAACTTTTTCATCGCTACGTAGACAACAAATAAACGCATCGCTGGATTCAGCAGCTCAAAAGATACAAAAAAATTTATAATTTAAGTTATTATAGTAATGCATTTACGGGTTCCCTTGAGCCTGGATTTTAGTGATATTTTTGGGAATCGTATTTCTGTATGCACCATTCATTAGCCGTATTCTGATTGTGTATCGGTAATCTATTTGTGTAATTTTAAAATAACTTTCTGGGAAAACGCTTAGTGCTTCCGTTTTGTTCATTTATTCGAATTTAAATTGTTTATTATGTATTGTGCTCAGAGACGGAAAATTGATTTTTTGGGAAAGTTCTTTTCTGCATTAGATGATAATTTTGCAAAATGCAATTTATGCAAAGCAAAATTATCTTACAAAACATGTAAGTACGTCGACGAACGGCACATGGAACATCCAACAATATCAATAAATTCTGAAAATTTTCGCGAAGAAAAGAGAAGTAAAATTTTTGTACCTATTTTCACTAAAAGTTTTTTCCAGATCAAAAATTAAAATCAAATATAGCAGGTCCACAAAGAATTAAGGATACACTATTTGTTCTGTGTAAAACAATAGGTTTTTGTTCCTATTTTAATTTTTTTCCAGAATGTTTTTAGAACTTTTAGAGTACATGGGTTTACAAAACGTGTAGCCAGATGGTAGTTGCAGAGGATGTTATTTTTTAGTGTTCTTAAAATCATTTTTATTTCAAGTATAAAATATTATTTGTCGTATACCTAAATATGGTTATTTATTTTTATTTTTTTAAATTGTGTCTGCTAGTGACGCACAATTATTGCCCATCACCTTATGACGCTGCTATGTCACGAAAACGGCATATTAACAGATTAAATTCACAGTTTAAAAAAATCACATTCACAGTTATAACAGTGATTTTAAAATCACGTTTTAGTTCATCTCTAGCTGATAGTAAATTGGCACCGATTTTTCCATATAAAGGTCCAATTCTTCTTTGCGTCGAGTTTTTAGAGTCTATAGAAGCGATTTTCACCCGGAGAGGAAGTCGCCGAAGCAAAAAATAAGGTCCGCTCCAGTGATAAACAGTGATCCCTATGAGACACATTTTCGAATAAAATTTCACATACAGGATGATTTAGATTTAAAGAATTCTGATTTTTGCGTATCGCAAGCTCATCCAGGTCAGCTGAAGCTGATATTTTACGATTAAGCAAATAATAGTTTATATATAGTTATAATATACATAAGGATACCATTAAAACAAAGCTTAGGTTCTAATTTAAATGCAAATTTATGGAGTTATTATCTTAATTCTAAAGCCAGTTACTTTGAAAGAACAAAGGCAAGTCAGTTCTGAGCTTAAACTGTATTATAGGCCATTGTTCATTAAAAAAATTAATACATACCTGGCCAATAAGCAATCCCATGATTTCCTGTTTTTCTGTTGTTAGTGCATGCTGAATGCATACCGCATACACATCAGAGGCCAGAACAACTCTCTTTAAATACTTTTCAGTCTCCATTGCTGTAAACTGTCGTAGATAGAGAAATTATTCAAATATCCTCAATGTTTACTTGGACCATCAAAAACAAAGCTAATTTATAGGTTAGACACGGATCATATGTTAGAACCACATAATACACGACTAGCTGTAGAACTGATAATCATAGAACAAGGCTGATAATTCAAGTATTTGTAGTTTGTGAGAATTTCTTGAAATGTAGCAGCCCTCTAAATGTTGAAACCTTTTCTTGTAGATTTTTAAAAATTACGAAACCACTCAAATAAATCTTTATCAGGAAATAATAATTTGCTATGATTTCTATCTCTGTCGGTCTAGTTACTATTTTTAACGGTTTCCGATAGACACTCTTAATAATAATAAACTAGTTGTTGTTAGCTCCTTAAAAAGGAGCGTTTTTTGCATTTTTCCTTCTAATTTTTTAAAAGTCCTAACTTTTAACAGGCTTTCATGATTTTTGATAAATCAATCAATCAGATATTTTAACCGTTTTTAAAATAAAAGCACTTGAAAATATTATGATATACCGGGTGTTTTTTAATAAGTGTCCAATATGGCAAAGGGCGATTTGTCAGCAATTTTTAAGATAAAAAGTCCATAACGTTGAGGACCCACGTATGGGTCCTCAACGCCTTGCTTACCGAGCTATAGTTTAAATTTCGTTTGTTCGAAGTTATTTTTGAAATATTATCGAAATTTGAACGAATTTGCATTCGAGGTTTAACATAAACTTAAAATAATTTTTTTTTGCTCTTACATGTAAAGGACCTACACCTATATGTCTTTTTCTTTTTTGCACGTTTTCGTGCATGCATTGTATCACATTTTTAAGCAAGAAAATTAGATCCTTTATCATTTTAATGTATAAAAGAAATTCCCCTCAAAAATCACTAGAACAACGGTCTTCGACACATTTTAAAATTACATATATCAAAAATTATTTAGAAAAATTAAAAATTATAGTTAATACTTCACCACCCTTGAAGACAACTTTTTATGTTCAAAATACTTGAGGAATTGCCCTGTTTACAACTGGATTTTAATCTAAGACACTCATTAAAAACTGTACTCTATATTCTCTATATTGTAAACCTTATATTAAGACATCTGAGAAGAAAGATATTTTTTATATTACATCTACATGGTGTTCTTGTTTAAATAGAACACAATTATTGTGCGATTCAGTGTTGAATTGAACTGGGAATTGTGTAGGATTAGGATAAAATAAAGAACAAAATTTCCGGTTAAACAACCGATGCTTCCAGTTTCCAGTGGAATAGTGATTCAAACAAATAATTTTTTTCCATTAACACAATTTTTCGTTTTGTTAAAATTGTTTTAAGATTGTACGCGACTATAAAAATAAAATAGTATCTTTTGGGGTAAAATTTTGAGCAAATAAAACTAATTAAATCATTGAAACCTGATGTATTCAAAACACTAATTAAACACTTTATTTGATATCAAAATGCGTTGCGTTAATTTGAATAAGGCGACACAATTAATTGATGTAAACACGTGAAGTGTTAAAGAAACGTTTTCAAAAATTAATGCTGTAAATCAAAAATAATATTTTTTACGTACAAGAAAAACATTATATCCAATTTTTCAGTAAATAAAAAAACATTGATTAATCTTCAGAAGTTTATTTGGGCATTATTTCTACCAATTATTAAAATTAAATAAATAGGAGCCCTTCTTCTTCTTAGTAACAGGTTCTTCAATTTCTGCACCTTTGACAGCACTGAAAAATGTAAATTGTAAAACGTAATCAACAGGAATAAAATGTTTGATATCGTATAGAAATAAATCCGAAATATAAACTTCGTAAAATATAAAAAAATAATAAATCAATCGTAAAAAAGAGAATGTGTTGTACAAATTACATGCATGCATGCATTACTGTTGCATAATATTCCATTTTATTTAGAGGAAACGCAATTTTATGCTTGCATTGCCAGTTTATAGGTTTATCTGGCATCTCATGGAACGCTATATGAAGTTAATTAGAAAGAACAGTTTATATACGCTGGGGTGCTTAATATATTGATGACCAAAATAGAGGTGTTATTAATACTAACGTGGTTGTTAATGCAAAAATCCATCGTTTCACAAACAAAACGACGAGTTTTGCTTGGTATTAATGAAGAATTAAAAAAACGTGTCATTATATCAGCGGAGCAAAACTTTTTTCTAATATATCCCTAAATGTAATCATATACGACCCTGATATACGGTTAACTATAAAAAATTGTTAATTAACGGGGCTTTCAGCTTATTCCAAAATTTTTCCAGATATATGAAAATGGCTTTGAAATATTTGATAAATAAGGAAGAAAGCTTATACAAACATTCCGAACTTCGACCAAGAAACGTTTAATTTAAAGGCACTAATTTATATCCACATTCCTTAATATTATCCAGACTAGAGCTCGGAATCAAACTCGAATAATTCGAGTATTCGAATATCCGAATATTCAAAAAGCGAATAATTATGTATAGTCATAACTCGAATATCTGAATATTCGAATACTCGAATAATCGAATACACCAACATTATCAAACTCACAAGGTGCAAATATCTTTATATGCACTTTGTATACTTGTGAAAGTATAAAATAAATGATTCATATTCTACAAGCATTTAAACAAATACCCATATATTTACAAGCAAATGAAAATAATCATATTTACTCTCCTGCAAATGAATATAAAATTACGTCTCTGTGTTCTGGTGATTCGCGTCATCAACTTTTGCGCGGTGTTACAATTAATGTGCCGACAAATGCACTTTTTTTATCCGATGAACGATGGACGGAAAACGAACACTCGAATATTCGAATACTCGAGTATTCAAATACTCGAATATTCGAATACTCGAGTATTCAAATACTCGAATATTCGAATACTCGAGTATTCAAATACTCGAATATTCGTTAAATATTCGAGTATTCCAATAATTTTACTATTCGAATAAACCACTAAACGAATATTCGAATTTCAGATTTTTAAAAATTCCGAGCTCTAATCCAGACTATCATGCAAAGGTTAATTTTTCGCGCATAAATATGAATTATTATTTTTAACGTTAAAAACAATTCATATTAATCTCCAACACGTTTAGACTGAGGAAATATTTGGAAATTACTTTACTCGGTGTTCGTTACATCATTTAACGTCAGTTTTATTTATTTATAAATTCAATTTAGAACCGTCATTTTAGTACTGTAAATAATTGATTTAGTATATTTTAAAATACCAACGTTTTGCTACCATTTTTAATTCTTAATATCGACAATTCAATTAAATTCCTGCACCATTAAAATAATATAATAAAATAATAATAATGAACTCGATTAATAATTTGTTAAGATCTAGTTACCTTTTCAGTACATCTGGTTTAATATATTTGCCAACACCACTCTTAAATGCAACAAGTGGCGTATTTTTAGCAACTTTCTTTTTTTCCTCAACAGCTTTCAATTTCTGCTGATTAATTTCATCCTCTCTTTCTTTTGTTAACTAAAAAGTGATGCACAATTAACTTTACATTTCGTAAATAGAGTTTTTCGCTTCTTACGATTTCATCAGCTTCATCATATGGATTGGCGAAAATCTGAGTGTTAATAATAACGATATCTTCAATGGGTCTGTCTTTATTGTCCACTTCGATGCGTTCCATTTCATTTAACGTTTCTGTGCCTCCCACAACTCGACCAAAAATCGTATGTTTGTTATTCAGGTGCTTACAAGATCTATATGTGATAAAACTGGAAAAATATAATCAGATATAATTATAAAGCTGGATGTTGGATTGAGTTATTTACAATTGAGATCCGTTGGTGTGTTTCCCAGAATTGGCCATTGAAAGTACCCCACGTCCAGTATGAGAAAGGTTCGGTTTAAATTCATCTTCAAATTTTCCTCCCCAAATAGACTTTCCTCCATTTCCAGTATTGGTTGGATCGCCCCCTTGAATCTAATTGGAGCATAAAACATCAGTGATAAATGACTGAAATTATCAATTTTCCGGTTGGTGAATCCGGAAAAACGTTCGGGTATAATACAAACATAAGTTAATAATAAAGAACTGGTAGAAAGAACCAATATTGCATTTTTTTTAATAATAGAAAATAATAAACAAATATAATAAATATTAAATTGAATTGAACATGGAAATACAATATAAACTTGCATATACAGAGTGTTTATTAATTTTTAAGGCATAATTTTACGAACTATTCCAACACAAAACACAGATTTCAGAACAAAAATGCTTTGATTTATCCATGGTTAATTTGAACTGCAGTTTTGCGCAGGATAATTTTATTTATACAAGGTGGCCCAAATCATTATCAACAACCATAATCAACTTATTCTCGTTCAATAAAAACACCGATTTTGGACTTTTTAATTCTGTATCCGATTGTAAGTGTGCTCAACATGTATTCACATATTTACGATTGATCTCAGAGCAATTTCTATGGAAATTTCTACTGAAAAAATCGATTTTATAATCCGTAAATTATAAATATATCAAAAGCCTTATTTCAATCTGTATTCCAGCAACCGAACCCCGAAACCGATATTTTCCAAATATATTGAAATCCACGAGTCTTCACTGAATATGCAACAACTTATTACAAGCTCAACCCAGCTGGAGGTAGTTATTTTAAATTAGTCTTGTAGATTAAGAAAGGATAAATAATTTTTGAAAATAAAATGTTATAAAAAAACATTTACATAATTGAAATTAGAGAAAATAATAATACAAAGCAGCTTTTCAGAAATCATCAATGCACAACATATTCAAAGAATGGTTAGGAAAGAAAATGTGTACTGCATGCCTCATCCATAAGAAATTAAAGAACTACTAAGAACCAAAAATGTTACACAAGAAGAAACATAAAATACGCTTCAAAATAGTCTTAATCAGAATTGTGATTTAACATACCAAGGGGAAAGCTGAACGGTATAATTAATTGAAAACTTTAAACTTGATCATTTTAAAATAAAATGTAAAAAAGGAAGATTTAACAGAAACTTACCATAAAATTCCTGATTGATCTATGAAATTTCGTCCCATTGTAATACCCATTCTCACAATGCTTCAGAAAATTTTCACAGGTCTTTGGAACTTGATCGCAATATAATTCTAAGTTGAGCATTCCCAAGTTAGTTACCAGCCGAACATAACCTGAGGAATAGAAGCATTTACTGTAGAAAGCATATTTAATGATTATTTGTTCGTTTCCTTTTTCACCTTTCTTTTTAACTCTCTCATATCGAAGTTCATCCTCATGTCGTATTGCTGCTTCATGAACTAAATTACGATTCATCGAAGTGGAAGTAAAACTGGCTGCAACCGCCCCAGTCGAATAATGCGCTGCATTAAATTTATCAGCTTTTTCCGTTGTTTCTGTCTTATTTAGCTGAATAGTTGGCGACTTATAATCCCTGTCCAACTCTGCTAACGTATCTTTTGTCTCTGGATTTATGGTTTTCAATCGAGCTTGTGGGTTTGATTTGTCAGCTATCTCTTCTAAAATTCCCAATAAAGTAATAAGTTAGTTTCTTTTATTAGCTAGTTGTTAGAAAAAAATAGAAATTTCGAATTTCTAGAACTTTTCCTTCCTCCATTAAAATTGAACGATTGAACAAAAAAATATATTAAAAATTAAATGTTATTGATATTAATTGCTATCTAATTATTTTACTAAAAAGTTAGTATTGGTTAAAGAATTTTGAAAAATGTTGCTTTTACACAGTTTGATACTTATCCATGTCGTAAAAATAAAATTAAAAAATACTTCCTTTAGCGCTAGATTTACTGTTTTTTCAATTTTGCTTAAGCTCGCATTTAAATATTTTTTATACCATAAAACATGTTTTGTTAAAGGTTTTTAAACCCAAAAAATGTTATTAGTGTTGTGAAGTGAAGAAAATGAAGACAGAGAAAGTCTGCTGCCTCTTGGGCGTCGCTTGCAAAGTTTTCTCCGCATGTTTAAAACATGACTTAGTAGTAACAGCTGGGGCTCGCCTCCTAGATCTCATGATCTAAACGCGCTTGATTTTTACTTCTGGGGCCATTTAAAAATTACGGTATATTCAACAGAAGTGAATACAATCGAAGAACGGAACATAATATTTAATATTTCTAACCAAATAAGAACTTTAGTGCAAACTTTACGGTCTGTAAATTTAAATTTCATTAAAATACTGCGATTATGCCAAGAATGTCAAAGTGACCAATTTTAACAGCTTCTAAGTTAACATTAGAATGGTTGTTTAAATTTAATTTTGTTTTTGTTACCATGTTATTATTTAAGTGCAATTGATTTAAACTTAATATCTGTAATCTGAACCAAAATACACAATTTAGAAAAATAATTTAGGTTGTTAGTAATCAACTAATAATGCGTACCAAAATTGTTATATGAAAACGTAATTAGATTTAAAAAAATTAACTTAATTACTTACACATTTTGAGAACGGCAAAGAAAACGTAAAATGGCCCTATATCTTTTGAAGTTAGGAATATTTTTCCTCTAGTTTGTCCCTCTAGTTTTGCAAAAAAGAAAAGGCATCGATATGCTCTTATAAAATGGCTCATAGGACTCTAAGATATTTTTGACCATTTCTTATTTTTAGAATTTAATTTTTTCTTTGAATATTAGGATCTCTTATGGAACTTAGTGGGACAACGACACAATTCATAGCGGGGCACTAATGTGATATTTTGAATCGTTGCTGCGAAAGAACTTCTTGAATTTCGATTTGCTTGAAACTATACGGAATATCTGATTAACCGTAATTAAGAAATTCCAAATTCTGTATCAAAAGTCGCTAATTATTAGTTTGATATTCAGAACAGTTACTCAGTAATACTAAAAATGTTTAATAATTCATCAAATTTGAGTTGTGTATCTGGATGTTGGGAACTTGGAATGTCAAGAACAGCTAAGAGAAAAAGATATCTTGAGGCGGTCCGTCAAAAGCGGTCTTGTGACTCTGTAGATATTTCCCACCTTTTCAGAGTTGTTTATATCTTATAACAATTTCTTATAAAACATAATTGGTAAAAGACTAAAAGAGTTCTTCAAGCGCTCTATACGGATTTGCTGAAAAACTATAATACAGAGTAAATAGTTCTCGAAACGTTTCATCAAAAACCTTCTAATGATTATTCCGATATTTTTTTGCGGTTTTCGAGAGATAAGTGCAAATCTCGATACGCTCTATTAAAATGGGYCATCAGATGTTTCTATTGTTTGCGAGATAAAAACTTTTTTAGGTTTCCAGGTCTAAATACTTAAATTTTCTTCGATCTATTTAGAAATTATAAATTTCTGATAAAACCGAACTAAAAAAATATATCCCTCGACAAGGTCTAACAAAATAGTTCCAAGAAGTTTCGTAGATATAAATAGACTATTTTAAAGTTCGAGGACGTTCTAAAATGATTCTTTTTTTGCTTTTGTATCTTTAAAAGATAGAAACTCTTGATTAAAACTACTTGGTGAAAGTTGATTTTCGAGAAGGTCTATCGAAAACGACATTTAAAGTTTTACGATGTTTCCAACCCGTTCGGAAATAAGTAAGTATGAGGTTTTGAAACTTTTAGTCGATAGGAGAGTTGCGAACCCTAAGCTGATCTTGAAACTGTTTTCAAAGTTATAAGTCGGTAGGTAAGTCAGTTCTTAGATGGTTAGAAAATCCTATGGATGCGATATTTACAAATGTTTCCCACTCGATCGAACCAACAGAAACTGTTCATACTTGAGAGGCCTATTTGAGCAGTTCAGCGACTAATTTAGCATACTTTTTCCTTGCATTCGTTCCTCCTAAATAACCAAGTCGGTAGGTTTGGTTTGATTTTAATACGATGCTTCGTTTGCAATATCTGTACGTCTCCAATATAGCAAATGTAAGAAAAATCTTACAGCGTTTTAAAATGCAAATTTAACATATTGATAATTATTTAAACTGGGAAGAAATATGAAAACCTAAATATATTTTTTAGAAAGCAATTAGCACAATAGAATATGACTTGAATTTGTTCCTCGAATGTGAAAAAAAATAAAAGGGATTATCAACAGCAACCTATACTATCTAAATTAATCGTCGTTAGAAGTATTTTTGTGCACATTTGAATGTTTTGGACCACTTTGCGCGAAAAAACCATGTTTGAACAAACTGTAACATCCTAAGAAAGCACTTCACTTATTTATACTGGATTAAGTTAAGATATTTTTCAATCTAAACAACCATCTAAGTAAGCACTTACCTTCGGTTTCAACTCGCAAATTCTTTTTGACATGATGAAATTGTGATATATTGAACTTCTCCAACTTATTGGGCTCCTGCAACACAATAATATCCTTCCTCTCGAATGGTGTATCTGTAATTAAATCCTTCCAGTTTTTATTCTTTATATTCAATTGTTCAATCGCTTCCATCAAGTACACATTTCCAGTAGTGGCAATTGCAGCAACATGCGAACTGTTAGTGATAGGCTTAAATAATACGGGGCACTCAAAGTCACCCTCTTCATTCTTCTTGATGTTTAATTGGAACAATGAGTGAAAATCCAAAGGTTTTCCAGTCACAGGGTTGATTTTGTACTTTTTCAAAAATGGGATGAGGGCATCCAAGTCGAATATATTGCCGTCCAAGTCGCTAAAGGGCACCTCAAAGGGCTGCAACGATAAGCAACAATGATCAAAGGGTAGTCGCTTAAAGTTTGCTTCTTCTTTGGACTGGGTGCCCCGTTTTTTTCCACCGTATAAAGTCGTCCATTCGGTGTAGGTCAGGTACATTTTGTCCTTCTGATGTTGTCGTTTTCCCATTTTGGATGTGCTGTTTGTAAAATAAAAAAGACGAAAACAACACACTATTCAAAGCAAAACATTAACCAAAACAGTTTTCACGAATTTCTAGGTTAGGCAGTTTGTGTCATTATCAAACTAATGCTGCCAATACACATTTTTTCAAATTTTCTTTACGTATTGTCTTGTTTTTCCTAAAGTCGATTTGGAAATTGTTAATTAGTAGATTTGCTAATTCGTTTAGCCACTTTTTTTGACGTTTACACGGAATTCTGCTCTAAAATGTTAACGCTTTAGTAGCGCATCTCTGGGAAATTGGGCTATTGGTAGCACTGATCAACCTTTTACATTTTCACTTTTCAGTTCAGAAGTACGCCATGATCAGCCGAATCTTTGTAAATTTTGAATAGGAGTGTAATTTATTTTTGAGTGACTCCGTTGATTGGGTAAGGCCATTCAAAGCATTCATTTATCTGCTCTGTGCTTGGTTCATTCTATAGCTAGTATTAGTGATTAGTTTAATGGGATTTCAATGGGAAATACTGAAAACATTCTTCATCATTGGTGATCTACTTTTACCACTATTTTCACATAGAGGCGACTTAAGGATGTTACAACCAAAGTCTAAAGATACGAAGTGTTTTTTAAGTAATACCCTCATCAATATAAACTAGATATTTGGTAAATTTAAAGGAAATAAAAGAGGTAAATCAAAATGGCCGACAGTGACAAGAATCAATTTTGAGATTGAGAAAGGTTCACTTAAGGGCTTTTCGTCAGGTGACCCCTGCTTTGCAACAGACGTTAGATTCGAATATTTCTTCCATTAAAGTTAGTTACTACTGCTTTCTACAGTCAATGTTTCCATCAGCTTTGAAAGTAATTAATATTAAGTGTTTGACCTTAAGACAGAATCATCCTTATTTACTCAATAAAACTGAGCCTGTTTGATGTATTGAATTGCAATTTGTATACTATTCAGCGCCACAGTCAAAGTATTTTAGCCAAATTTAACTGTTTTGGTGTTCGTTCATTGAGCCTTTCGGGTTTAACTAAACAATCCGGGTCTTACGCTTCTGCATTTTATATGTTCGACAATTTCTTGCAATTTGCCAGGCAAAGCTCGTATAGCGCAACAAATGAAAGGCCATCCAAGTGCTGTCGACTCTGTTTTCCCATGTTTTTCAGCAGAAGCTTGCTTTGGATAAATCTTGGATTAAAGTTACTGCTTACTTATAGTCAACGTTTTCAACAGTTTTCATATCAAAGTAATTACTATTAAGTAACTGCGTGACATTAAGAAATAATCCAAGGTAGAATCATCCTTATTTGCTCAATAAAACCGAGCCTGTTTGATGGATTTACTTGCAAATTGCATACTATTCAATTCTATAGTCAAAGCTAAACTTAAAAACGGCTGTTTTTATTTGTGATCATTAAGCCTTTCTGGATTTACCAACAAATCCATCTTTTAGTCGTCTACATTTCATATATTCAATATTTTCTTCAAACTGTTAGGTGAAACTCATTCAAAGGTTTTCTAACAGTCATCAACTACATTTTGCCTTTTTTGTGGTAGTGAGAAAAACACTTGAACGAAATTTTCCAAACTTGAAGTAAGCCGATCTATGTATAAGTTATTTGTTTAAATTTTGAAATATTGCTTTTCATTGAATGTTTTAATGCATGTACTTGTAAATGTATAAAGAGTATTTATATCAGTAGTTTTATACTTTTAACCGCCTTTGACAAATTTATAGACCTTCAAGTAAGTTTTCTGTTCAAATTTTGAAATATTTTATGGAATGTGGAGTCGTTCTCCTTGTTTATGATTTAGGAATTTAGAAAGAATATTTAATTCAAAATTTATGTAGCGAATTTATACTAATAAGCACCTTTTATAAATCTAAAGTTTTTCAAGTGAAAATTATATGTTCTCTGCTCAAATTTTGAATTGCGAGTGTGACGCACCTGTTTTTTATTTCAATTTTGAATGCTCCATTAAATTTTAAGTATGGTTCAGGTAACCTGTGCTATATGTACTTAATTAAACTTAAGAGTTACCGATAAATTTACAAATGGACCTATCAATGAATAGCAACGATTTCTATCAAATTTCTTATTTTCTTCTCTTCTTATTCTAGTCTTATTTATTACAAGAAACAGAACAACAATCAAATTAAATGTTGAAAATGTGTGCCATTTATGGCTTGTTAATGTTCAAGGTAATCAATAAACCCTTCTTGCATGTTGTTATTTTGGTAAATACTTTTTTTATCCCATAAATTTCTCGACTACTGTTGAATTTAGATATAGGATATGGTACCTGAACCATATAATCGATCTTCATAAAAATGACAAAGTCTTAATCTGCTGATGAATGTGTCTTTCAAGTGAGGCTATAACCAATCTGCTAAATTTGCATTATTAGCTCGTGCAGTGAAACATTCTGAATATAAATCCATCAATGGGGTAAGAACTCAACGTATCGATGACACTGAGTAGTAGTTGCATAAAATTTTTATTAAGCAGTGTGAAGAACTATTAAGCAAATGTCCCCCTATAGATTTAGTCGCATTATAGGCAACAAGATGAACGACCCCAGTAATATTTCTACACTTAGTTATTATTATTAATGAAACAAATGGATTCCAAGATGTAATAATCGAATGGTCAGTATCTTTTTGTGGTTGAACAAATGCATTAATTAGTCATGTTCAGATGTAAGACTTTTCAATTTCTTGTTTAAATCTGTTTTCTTGAGTTTGCTCTTCGGATTGAAAACATTTGTTCAAGCTCTCATAAGTTTCAAAAAATGTATCTCCTCTACTGATAGATTTCATACGACCAAGATATACTGACAAGGCTAATCCTCTCAATAAGTACACAATTTATATATCCAATATGCCTTCAGTAATCCAATGTGAACCTTACTTACGTTCATGACTCCACTTATTAGATCTACTGGTATGCGGAAGTCCTTAAGATGTCCATTAATCAATGTGTAAATTTTACGATTTTCGCCAAGATTTATCCA